AATATACAGGGTGGGCCATCTATTGGTACGTTTTTGAATTTCGTCGTATGGCAACACCGAACGAGCTACAGACCCGAAATTTTGACAGTTTATTAGTCATACCGTCCGCGGCACGAAACAACATGTTTTCTCTTGAAGAGCGTTTTGAAATTTTAAAAACTTATTTTCAAAGTCAGTGCTGTGTCGCCGAAACTGTACGAATTTTGAAAAGAAATATGGGTCGTGATAGAGCACCCATCGAAGGAGCTATACGCAAATTGGTGAGGAAAGTTCGTGAGAAAGGGATGTTAGTGGATGACATTATATTACGACTGTTTTGAGTGAAATTGGCGCCGAGGTAGTCCAAAATGTCATTAATAATTGGGGTGACCGAATGGCATACTGTAAGGCCAGTAGAGGGAGCCACATGAACGAAATCGTTTTTCATTCTTGACGCGGATACTTTTAGCTTCACAACAAAAAAAAAATTAATAAAAAATATCAATGTATGCTCATTTGATCGCATTTTTAAAAACGTACCAATAGATGGCCCACCCTGTATATATATATATATATATATGTGTCTGATTGATTTTTAATGTGTGCTATTTAATGTAATGTAGATTTGCTGGACAAGTAGGCGCTATTTCATGCAGTATGAAGTCTAAGGAGGCTCACATTGGTGATACTTTGCATCTGCGGAATCAGTCTGTTGATTCCTTAGAAAGATTCAATCCACCAAAGCCAATGGTGTTTGCAGGAGTATATCCAATGGATCAGTCACAATTGTCCTCTTTACAAGCAGCAATCGACAAACTTGCTCTAAATGACAGTGCTGTAAATGCCACTTTAGAGTCGAGGTAAAAGTTATATCATTTGCAAGCTTTATGAATGAAAATTGTTTTCTATAATATATAAATGTTGTTGATAATATAAAATCCTGACGCAAATGAATGTAAATTACATGAATAACAAACATGTTGATAAAACGACGAAAAAAAATAATATTACAGTGCTGCACTTGGAAGAGGATTGAGAATTGGCTTTTTAGGTTTATTGCATATGGAAGTCTTTATTCAACGTCTTGAACAGGAATATGGGGCACAACCAATAGTTACAGCACCTGCAGTGACTTACAAAGCAAAGATTTTTGGCAGTAAAAATATAACGAAATATCGAGGCGATACAGTGATCTTTAATAATCCAGTATATTTTCCAGATCCCCAAATTGTCACTGAATTTTATGAACCTATGATTATTGCGACGATCATTACGCCAGGTATTTGCAATTTCATAGTAAAGTACAATTTAATTCATTCAAAATTAAATTTAAAGATATATCAACAAATAGAAAATAAATACATTTTCGAATACTTTGATCAGAAATTTGATGACTTTTTTCTCATTTTTATTTTATTTAATACTTTATTTAATACTGTAGATTAATCAATGCTTTGTAAAATGTATAGATACATACATGAGAGAAATTATATCACTTTGCTGGGAAAAGCGAGGTGTAGAAAAACTGAATAAGACTATTGGCAATGACAGATTCATGCTGCAATATGTGATGCCATTGAACGAAATAATTATCGACTTTCATGACTCTTTGAAGAATATAAGTTCTGGTTATGCTAGTTTCGATTATGAAGATTATGGCTATCAAATAGCCGACTTAGTGAAGGTAATTTTTAAATGCCACTTATAAATTATTCTTGTGCAATGTTAAACTTTTTATTGGCATGTACTTTGATATATAAATTTTAGTTGAATATTTTATTAAATGGAAAAATGGTAGAAGAATTATGCACAATTGTACATAGAACAAAAGCGACTCAGATAGGCAAGAAGTTATGTATCAAGCTTCTTGATACTATTCCTCGACAACTGTTCGAAATAGCGATCCAAGCAGCAATAGGGAGTAAAATAATTGCAAGAGAAACTTTGAAGCCTTATAAAAAGGATGTAACAGCGAAATTAGTAAGTAAATATTTGGTATATCTTATTAAAAAAATAAGAGCAGACTTAAACTTTAGGATAACTTCATTAATATTGCGTTCACTTTTTTCAGTATGGTGGTGATGTTACCAGAAGAAAAAAATTGCTGGCGCAGCAAGCAGAAGGAAAGAAAAAAATGAAAATGATAGGAAAAATTTCCTTACCACGCGACACTTTTATAAGCGTACTAAAAAAATAATAGTGTTTTTATATATAATTTAATATAATTCTTACACACACAAAACACAAAGTAATAAATATAAGTAATATAACACATGAAAGTGCTCTAAGGCTCAGTTTCACAACTTAACTCTACATCCACTTTCGACGATACGATTTTATCGACAATGTCAAAATATGGATGTAGTAATATAGTTCCTAAAAATGAATGTATGTACCCTGGGATTTGATTTTGGGGGTCCACGTTTTGTTCTTAATTGTTACATTCATGAGTGTAAAATTTGATACGACCGGATGTTACGTCAACGTATTGTAGTATTTGTGAATTGCGTTTTAACAGCCGACCGATGTAACCTCAGTTTCACTCAAGATAATAGAGCAGTTACGCCGCCCCGAACAAAAAAAATAACATATCCTGCCTATTTGGAGCCTAGCTACCTAGAAGTTGCAGCCTAGACAGTAAAAAGACCGCTCTAAGAAGACTGTTCTCACATCCCTGTCTTCATAAATTAGAAATATTCCAAGGGGACACAATCAATGGCCTAGTTTTCACCGAAGGTTTAATCCAGATCATTCTTCTTCTCCTTAGGAGCTCCGCACAATAAAAGAAACAGGGAACAGAGCATAAGAATTTTAACCTGTCAGAACCTGTGTATTCACAATACATGATTTCTGACAGATTAAAATTCTTATTCTCTGTTCCCTGTTCCTTTTATTGTGCAGAGTCCCTTAGTTATTGGCTCCTGTCTCCATAAAGTAAGCGGAGACAATATGGCCAGATTACGTCATAGAGTATTCAGGAGCGATGAAAGACAAATATAGATTATAGTGGCTTCTGCGCTACGTGCCGCTAAAAAGCGACATCTAAGCAGCACCATCTGACTAGTCTATATTTTAGGATCTAACGGAATATGCCAATCAGATGAAAGAACTCATTGAGCGCTCAGTGAGCGGTTGTCGTTCTGAATACATTCAGTGACTTTACCATAGCGCGAATAGTCTCCCCGAACTCACTCACTGTGTCTCTACGTTTGCACCATCTAATAATTTTATATAACTAGAGTTGTATAGTCGTTTTCTGTCGTATAAATTTAGTTATTAAATGGATATATACTTGAATATGCTGTTAATAATTAAATGTATCTTGTATACACAAGCCACAAAGCTACGATGAAAAGCAGTTTGTTTTTGTTTTTGTTTTTTCTTCTGTAAAATCGCGAAGGAAGCATTGACTGCAGTTTCGAATCATGTTGAACATCGTGCGACATCGTTAAAACAATTGGGTACTGATTTGTGCACTCCAGATGTAAAATATGATGAATTAGTAGACAGCGTGAGCTTAATTTTTTAAAAATTTAGGTAAGAGGACATTATAATATTAATAATAATCTTTATTGATTAGCTTGTTGACCAAAGCCACTTGATTTAAATTAAATTCTTTAATTCTTCATACTCTTACTCGTATTCTCTTTTCCTTTATTTTTCTTGTTTTCCTAATTTCTCATCTCTCCTTTTTCCTTCCCTAAAATCTTAATTTATTTTCTACATGCATATTTATATGTTCTATCTAAACCTCTTCTGCTTTAATCCACATCTGCAATGAGTCAGTAGTCCACAGTTGAAGAGTTGAAAGCGAGTTGGTGAATCAGTAACCAGCAATCAACTTCTACTGACTATCAACTCATTATATACTATCAACTCAGATTTTCATATGTTATATTTTTTCTATCTTTCTTTCTCTTCTAATTTATTCTTTTCATTTTCATATAATATTACTGTAGTATTAATGTAAACTGTCTTTGACATATTAAAATCAAATAGATATAAATAATGAATTCAGTCACTTGTGTTACACTAGATTAGTTTACTAAAGCTATTATACATACAAGTAACAAAGTTAAATATAAAGAAGCATACAAATATTCTAAACAATTAAATATTCAATAATGTTATTATCATGTTATTTAATAGAATATGCATTTGTTATTTTATTAAAGTTGATTGTGCCATTGCATTTAGATACTTTATATAAAGCAATCTTTAATGTATACTAATCTAGTACAATACAAGTCTTCTTTGATTTTGAGTGGCCCTGGTCCTCTTTTCGAGGATTACTTGGCCAGTTTTCTTCGAGATGTAGTAAAATAAATATAAAAATTGGAATGCAATGCACTGGCCATCTCGAACTGGACAGATGTATCAAAAAGAAATGATACAATCAAAATGAAAATGGAAGGCAGCTCTTAAGACACTGGGCGCCTGCAATCACGACGCTTCGACGCGCGGTCAGACAAATGAAAGGACTAATGAGATACAATTGCACAGTCGAAGCTGGTCACGCTTTTCAAAAATATATTATAATTGAGGTGATGCAACACTCGAAGCAAGACAAGACGCACGTCCGATCTGCTCGAGTGCATCCACTATAGTACAAGTGACTGGATTCATCATTAGTCTACTTGATAAATATGTCGATGAGAAGAACTCCCCCTATGACCTTGATCTTAATATATGTTGTCAAGATCATGATTCTGAGTGATCTTCAACGGGTTTTAGCCGTCGCTCGTTATTCATTAAAAAGTTATTAACAAAAAAAGTTTTACCAACCTGTTGTATGTCAAGGTCATCAGAGTTGGCTTCCATCATCGACATATTTACTGTCTTTTTGAAGTTATATATTTAGTATATTTAAAGTTTGATGAAAAAAAAAAGTTTTAGTACAATATTTTACTATACAGGATGTCCCAGAAAAAGTTTAGGTGCTTTCACTGGCAGATTTTGTGGAACATTCCAAGATGAAAAGTCTTATATGAAATCGTCGAGATTATAATTGGGGTTCTACAATGAGTTGGTAGCCGGTAATAGTGGTCGATATAGGTTTTCTATAATAAGTCATTATCTAAGCTTAAATCATAAGAAATTAACTACAGTTGAATGTGAAAAAAACTTGACTATGATTGATCATTTTCTTATAGCTTAATGGTCATTCTACAATAAGCCATTAGTAATAAATCGGAAGCTAAAAATTGATCAATCACAGTCAAGTGTAAGAAGAATAATTGATTAGTCAATTACTAGCTTCTAACTTGATTTATTACTAATGATTTAGTATAGAATGTGTGTAAGACTTAAAACTTAATAATAATGGGTAATGACTTAATATAGACAGTCCATTTGTTGTACAAGTTGGCTATTAACTAATTTCACCGATTAAAACTTAAACTTGTTCCACAATAGAGTCGAAAGCTATAAGAAATTAATCCATTATAGTCTATTATTGTTTTCATATTCAATTGTAATTGGTCAATTTCTTATGGCTTATGATTTGAAATTTTATTTTTGAATTATTGTGATAGGCAATGTTCGAAATGTCTATTTCTATAAAAGGATTTTCTGTTTTATCACTATGGAATATAATGAAACTGTACCTACAATTGTATTTTATACAGAGATATCAAATCTTTCTCTGCGTTTTGTTTTCTTTTCTATATAAAATATTATGAATACATGTTCCTGTAACCAAATACTAAATAAATTAATTTTTAAAATCAAAACATATGTACACTGTTAATATAAAGTATGTTGTTTATTATATGTGATGTATATTATTTATCTATATAGTTTTAAAGTAATAATACAATTTTTGTCATTTGTAGAGGAAACGTCTATAAGTGTACATCGAATTAAGATACTTTCTATTAAAAACGATATCAAAATGGCGCCAGTACCTTTAGAAGGCCATCAAACTCCCGTCACAAATAACATACCACAGGAAGGTAATCGTGGTGGATCTATATCCTTGGGGATGCTTATAGATTTTATTATACAACGAACATATCATGAACTCACTGTTCTTGCTGAACTGTACGTACAAAATAGAGAAATATCGAAAAATGTTTCCATACTTTACGATATTATGGTTTATTCTGTATCTCTTTGTTTAGACTCCCTCGTAAAACAGACATGGAACGCAAAATTGAAATTTATAATTTTTCCGCTCGAACGAGGCAATTGTACGTTCGTTTATTGGCACTGGTAAAATGGGCAAATAGCGCATCTAAAGTGGATAAATCTACAGTATGCACATTTTTACACATTTTGTAACCACACAATTAAAACGTACGGTCTAATAATTTGTTCTTTTCAGCACATAATGGCGTTTTTAGATAAGCAATCACTGCTTTTTGTCGATACTGCGGATATGCTGGCGAGAATGGCTCGTGATACTTTGGTACACGCTAGACTTCCAAATTTCCATATTCCTGCAGCCGTAGAAGTACTTACCACTGGAACATACGGCAGATTACCATATATTAAAAAATATGATTTGAGAAATTATTGTGTTTGAATAGGAGAGAATAGTGCCTCCAGATCCTATCACTCCTACAGAAAAGAGAAGTACATTGCAGAGATTGAATCAAGTCATTCAACATAGATTAGTCACTGGAAACTTGTTGCCACAAATGCGTAATTTGAAGGTAATTATATATGAAAAATAAGTAAAAATCAATAGAAATGTAGGTTTTAATGAAGTAAATCAAATAAAAATAAAAAGCCTTTGAAATCCAATGCTGGATATTGTTGCGATAATAATTTATTATGTATAACATTATTAATTAAACGTTTCGATCCATGATTCGATGATTAGAGTCCTCTTCAGCAATTATATTAATACCATAAGTAAAATATATACAAAATTGATTAGATAATTATACACAATTGAATCATTACAATGTGTTTAAGATTACAAAAATTATCTGTTCATCGTTATGTAAACTGTAGATAAGATATATCTAAATGAAATATTCAACTCATATGTATGCAATAATATCTGTTAAATTTCCAAATTCACTAAATAATAGAACTTAAATCAATGAAGATTGAAAATTAAACTAAAGATAATTAAATCAAAAACTTACATGACAGTTAACAGATGAGCATATCATGCGATGTTGACAGCATGCTTATCATGAATCTAATGAGATACATGTATGTGATAAACACCAACACAACAAACACTCGACAAACTGAAGAAGAGGGGGAAGCATCAAGTCTTAGACTTGATTAAAGTGTACAGGGGTTAACAAGCTATATAAATTTATCAAGTATTCAAGGATAAATTCCCAGTTTTGTCACATATAAACATTTACAGAATTGATTGCAAGGATCGTGATGCATCTTACGTCAAATCAGCAGAAACGACAAGAATTAAGGAGCATAAGAACTATTAATTGGAATATGTCGCAATATTCCGTAATTACTGAACACAGACTGGAATTTGCACATAATTTTGAGACTGGATAATATAAAAATTCTAGATAGAGAAAGCTTTTTAAACAAACGACTAATCTGAAATGATATTTATACATAAAAAAAGAGCTTGAATGTATAGAGTGATATGGAATTTTTAGATCCCTTATACACTACTTTAATTTCTAAAACTTGATGTTTTCCCCTCTTCTTTAGTTTATCGAGTGTTTTGTTATGATCCACGATAAGCGTGCTGTCAATGTTGCTTAATATGCTCATCTTAACTATCATGTAAGTTTTGATTTAATTATCAATCTTTGTTTAATTTTCAATCTTTATTTCATCGACTTAAGTTTTATTATTTATATATTTGGAAATTTAATGGACATTATTGGAGACATATAAATACGAGTTGAATATTTCATTCGGATACATCTTATCCATAGTTCATATAACGACGAACAAATAATTTTTGTATCTTAAACACATTGTAATGATTCAATTGTGTATAACTGTCTAACCAATTTTGTATATATTTTACTTACGGTGTTAATGTAATGCTGAAGAGGACTCTAACATGGCTCAAAACGTTTAAATAATTGTTATACACAATAAATTATAATTGCAATAACATCCAGCTTTGATTTCTCAAAGGTTTTTATTTTTATTTGATAAGCAGAAATATAAATTCTATTATAAGATATAATTATTTTGTAGAAGAAAAAATGCATAATTATTTTAAGTTTAATTTATTATTGATGTATAGATCGAGGCAGGAAGAGTGACGTTTCTTATCGAGCAAGAGTTTTCAGTATCTCTTACGGTTATGGGTGATGGGCCAACAGTTCCATGGAGACTATTAGAATTAGAAATTTTGGTTTCGGATAGAGAGACTGGAGATGGAAAAGCATTGGTACATCCTTTGCAAACTCGATATGTACACCAAGTATGTTCAATGTTTATGAATAAAAAAAATCAAGTTGATAACTTATACTTTCAGACGTTTAACGGATGTTAATTATTTTTTACGACAGGTTGTTCAATCGCGATTGGCTGAAAGTACTAACCCACTATCAGAAGTATATCATATCCTGCATTATTTTTGTCAATCATTACAATTAGAAGTTTTGTATTCTCAAACGTTAAGGCTGATTCGGGATAGATTGGACGATCATATTCATGTAGACGAATATACACCTGGCAAATGTCTTTCTATATCTTATTGGAGGTAAAACTAATCGCTTGTTACAACAACGACATAATTCCAAAATTGTCATTTTTTAGTTGCAAAAAAATGAAAAAAACATTTAAAAATAACATTTTTTTATTCCTCTACAATCAATTATTACATCAAAATTATATTTTAAAATTAATCTATTACAAAATTTTAATGAAAGAACATTGAAACATATTTTTTGAAAAACTTTATTTCTTTTGGTTTGTCGTAAATAAATTATATATATATATATATGTATTTAAAAGGTATTTTGCAAAAGAATTTTTATATACGCATAATATTTATATTCATATATGAGATCTTTTTAGGGAATTAACGAGAAAGGATCCACGATCAGAGCTTGGATATAGATTGACTGTTCAAGTAGATCAACATGATCCTGCGAGGCCTCTCGCAGTTGTACATATTCCGTCATTAGGTAGTAAGGTAAGATGATACACTTATATTTTTCAAACATGACATTTTACATCGTGATATTATGCAGGAAAGCGAAATAGCACATAGAGCCATTAGGTCAGATCAATTGTCGATGGAATGTTTACTCGTGCACACGATCTACGTTCGAACCCGAAGTCGTTTGTCTGAATTGAAACAAGAGCTACAAACAATGCTGAAAGACGTTGAGTGTAAGTTAAGAATACTTTTTTGTCTTTTATATTTGATTTTTTATATTTGAGGATGAAAAGATTAATTTAATTAATATTTTAGGTACTTTAGCGGGATCTCCAGCTATTTTATCAGTGCCTATATTGCAACCATGTTTACGTGCCGAGCTGCTGTTGGTTACAGTTGACACTCATACCGGTATGCTGCAGTGCCATGTCCCTCAATATGACGCACCACTTGTCCCAGAATTAACTATGGCCTTAAATGGGGATCATTCGCGTCTTCCGACACTTATATCTGAATTAAGGTATTAATTGTTACAATACTTTATGATCTTTCCTGGGCACATTTCAGCATATTTGAAAATAACATCGGTTGTGTTTTAACAGATTTTGGATAACACAGAGACGTTGTGAGAAAACATTGCAACATCTACCAGCTACCTCGCATGAACGTTTGCCTGTTTTGCATCATCCAGATCACCCTATGTCTAAGATTAGTCGGCATCGGATGTTTGTTCAATTGCACCGACATCCTACAGTCATATTGGTACACATCTTTATTAATTTAAAAAACTAAAATTATAATAATAATTTAAAATACTATTTTAGTTTGCTACACGCACGCGCACGCGCACACACAAACTCGTAAGTCTACATATGTTGTACTTTATTCTAGATTGTCGCATTCAAAGAGAAAGAAAGCTCACCATGTGAAATAGAGTGCTCTTTCTATCTTGCTGTGGTGAAGCATAGTTCCATCGAAGATGATCCACACGATGATAGCATAGAAACGGAAATACCGAAAATGTATTTGAAAGTCCAAAGCCTTATTGAGTTTGATACTTTTGTGATTACTCACGGCCCATTTACAAGTGTCGATAGTGGTGAGTAGATGTATAAAAGTTTTATATTATATTTTGAAATAAGGATAAGTATGAGAAGTATACATATACCAATATCTATTATTTATTAAGTCACATATTTTGTTTTTCATTAATTTTTTGTGATTAAATCTTTTTTTTTTATTTTTAACACTACAGATCTTCCTTATTCTAGATATTAGGTAAAATCAATAGCTAAAGATAATAAGATAAGAATAAAGATAATAACAATTATTAATTTAATGATAAACAATACTATATTATCATTGTTTATCATTAAATTGATACATGGATAAGTGAATACTTTTTATAGCTATGCATGTATTTGTATGTAAAGGAAGGATTGCGATAAGGGTCATCTTCCTCCCTGAATTCAAATGAAACTGAAAGAGGAAATATACCTTCATCTCTTGATATTATAAATGACATTTTTGACAAGTTTTTGAGAAATTGATAATTCCGGGAACATTATTAAAAAAAATCTCAGTCCTTGAAAAGTATCAATCACATCTCTTATATATCTTATAAATCATTCAAATGCAAAATATAATAATTTATGAAGGATGAGATTTTTAGGATCATTCTCCTGGGGAATTATAAGGACGGTATGGAAGTACACACACACACACACACACACACACACACACACACCCCTCCCCCCCCCTCCACAGTTCCGTTTGAATTTAGAGGGACCAAAAATGGCTTTATCGCAACTCCTTTAGTTTATGATGTACTATTAGCATGATCAGCATGGATGTATAAGTACGTAGGCAAAAGATAGGTTTATTCACATCGTATGCTTCAATATGCTCCACAGCTTTTACTCACTCCAACGCGCTTGTTGGAGTAACTAAGAGTTGTAATAGAAGTATGTTGAAGTATGTTCAAGCATGCCATGCAAATAAATCTGATACATACTGTATCATGTAATTGTAGCTTGTAATATAATTTAGGACTATAATTCCTAATCTTATATAACAATTTTAATTTTTTAACATTAATTAATTTTAACACTTAATTTTTTCTCAACTTTGCTAATGATATAAATATAAATATACTATATGCATTATACGGGATGATTCTCATTTATGTGTTAATATCAAGTCTCATAGCAAACACTTTGGGCTTTTCTTTAATTGATCAAAATCAGATTAATGTAATTATAATATATGCGCACGCGCACGCACGCATACACAACTGAAATCTGAATGTTTCTTCATTTTTTCTATCTCCATTAGAAAAAGAGAAACATTTAGTTTGTGAAATTAAAATAGAATTAGTAGTAATATGTAATTAATATACAACATATAAATAACTATCTTTACAATCAGGGCTGGACATTGTATTTGAAATACTTTTATTTAACAAAAGGTAGTATACTTTTATTTAAAACAAATTTTTAGTATACTTTTATTTAAAACAAATTATTTACAAAGTTATTTTACAAGTATATTTAGTATTTCTGCGGAGCACATGAAAGTATTACATATTTTGTATTTAAAATAGAAAGATTGAAAATTTTTTCTATTTTGTGATTTAAATAAAATTAATTGTCAATCTTAGTATTTGAAATATAAAACGCAAAATACAATTACGTTATAAATATTGTTTTTCAAATAAAAATATTTCAGATACATGCTTAGCCCTATAATTTATAATTAACAATTATCGAGCTGTGTTAATTAATTGTAATTATATATTACTCAATGCTCTCGAATTATTATATATATATAATCTATCCTGCCTGAGAATGTTAAGATTAATCTTCTTACTAACTTTTATTAGTTACTAATATACTCATTTGTTCGTTATCGATATGTAATATAATACAGTGTACGGATAATAATATTAACATCTGGCATCATTCAGTGTGGTATCGGCATACTGCTCTGTTACTTTTAGGGGGATTAACGGGTGGATTTTTTAGGGAATAATGATCAAGATGGGGGGTGCATTACAGAAGTGGTGGAGACGTCTAACAACAAACGTAGAAGCACCGGGATCGGAGGAAGGACAGATGCAGCAGGAACACCACAGAATAGAAGACCAAAGCATCCGGCTTACTTTATTCCGGAATTGGCACACGTTGTCGCTTTGTGTGACGAACGAATACCGTTCGTAACTCTGGCTCAAGAAGTAAGATTTCATTCTCTCATTGAGTTTTCTATATAGTGTCGTTTGTGTCGTTTGTTTATTTAGCAAAGTACGTTTGAAATATCTTGTATACGATGAATTCTTAATTATGAATATTAATGAATTCTTAATACGATAAATTATCTTAATTTAATATTAATACGCAGCTTACTAGACGAGAGATAGCCCATCAGGGACTCCAAGTCGAGGCGAATGCCACAGCATTGGTACTCAAACTTGTTCAATTGCCTGCACCATCACCGAGCATAGCTACGAGCAGTGCTTGGCACGCTCTTCTCAAAAGACTTCTGAGTGTCTCGATTAGAGTTCAGGGCAAAGGCATGGCTAAAACTTGGACAGTGGAATTTGTATTTTATGGTAGTCCTCTCTCCAGCAGTCATCCCAAAGAACAAGGTTTCGATACTGTTTCTTCATACTAGAGTTTGTCTATTAACGTATATTTTTCATAATTTTACAGTGTAAAGTTATGAATTTAACAATAAGGTATTATTACAATTTCACTAATAAGTCTTCTTTTTGTTAAATTTTAAAAAATGTATATGTATTTGTGCATGTGTGTGTGTGTGTATGTAACATATGAAAATGTGTGAAAATGTGTGTTTTCATATTAATTTATAGTATAAGGCCGCAGCACAGACTTTTGCCTAACGCTGTATAACGCACAAGACATAAATTGACATAAGGAATTTAGAGTATGAAATGAAAGATTCTAATTGATTTATTTTCTTAGGTTTTATGCAGCGTTATGCAAAAATCTATACTACTGCTAATGTTTAAACTGAAATATAGCACACGTCGATTCCGAATAAAATCGGATCTTCTCTCATGAACAAATAAAATACGTTGTGTGTTCTGCTTCTTTTAATAGTAGATATTAAGTGTAAATTTCGGATTTTACAGGTTTGCGTAGGCCAGTCTACTTTCAATATGAAATGGGTACAGCGGATACCGTCTCCCGCACTGTAGATGTTTTGTTAAACGATTGGGGACAGATAGTACATTTGTATTTGATTGTTCATGATTTAGCTGAATATTTCAAAATGGGTGCGTTACACATTGCACTGAAAAATCATTGCATCTTTGCATTACATAAATTGTGTTCTATGTAATTCGCCATATTACCTTCTTTATTACAGAGAAATATAACTTACGCAATATGGTTAGCATTAAGTCTTATAGTTATAGCAAGCTGGTTCTTGCGTATGGTCCAAATCAAGGTGCAACTGTTACTATACAGTGGAGTACGAACGACAAGGCATTTAAGATGGTATTTGGTAGGAGTAAGTTTTCCGCATCGATATCGATCAATTTCGAACGCTCGATCGATGGAAATGATGTAATAACGAATATTCCGCTTGTATTGTAGGTCCAACAAATACGGTGACCAATGCGCATTCTATAATGAAGGAACAACTAGAAGCTCATTTGAATAGATACACGAATTTGGCACAAATTATTCATATACTTAATGAAACTCTTCAGCCACTCACTTCGATTAGTAAATTACCATCAATCCCTCAGTTATGCGTGCATGCGGTAAGTGCACGCGCGTATCTGCCTTTTTTCGGTTCAGATTTACGGCTAAATTCCTCTCTACAGAGACCACGAGTGCCAGTACAAACGTTTACTATAATGCCACAATGTGTCACTTTAGTAAGGATAGCGTATCAAGGAATGTATTGTTTGGAATTACGTTTGCGCGGCGGGGGTTTGGTGAGCTTACGCGACGGTGCTTACAGTCGTTTCGACAGAAGTAACGTCGTTGATGAGTTCACGCCTACGCAGGGCCTAAAAGTAAGATATATGAAAAAAAGACTCGCATAATTGAATGCTTAAAGAGTTTGTTCCTGATAAATGTGTTTCTATCATTGCAGGCATTTCTGTCGAAATATGTCGACGAGAATGCGGTATACAGAAGGAGGTCTCAATCGGAGGATGATAATCCACCGTCGCCTGTTACTATGGACAGCGATGGTGCTGGAGGCAACGTAAGCTTCTTAGGTCATCACAGGAGTGGGCCTCAATCACCCGCCCAGCAACGCGAAGGTCTGAGATTTCATCCACCGCTCACACCACCGTCTGGTAGTAATCCTCATACACCGGCCAGTCCTCATACCGCAAATATATCCCAGGCAAGTCCTAAGTATATCCAACTAATTGTAAGATAATAAATCATTCTTCTTTTTACATTTTTTTTCCTCCAAGGAAGCATTTTATTTATTACTTCGTTATTTTGAGATTTGTTTTTCTAGTTTTCGTTACAATTATTAGAATTTTTTTTCTCAAAATTGGTCTGTCAGCATTTTAATAAAAAATTCGATTAATTTCAAACTTCTTTTTAGGCAAATCAACATCAAAGTTTCGGAAGTAGTCCTGCAACTTCATTTAATTTAGCATCTCCGCCGTCATTACCGCCAAATACACCTAATATGTTACCACATCCATCTCCTGGATCCGGACTTGTTGCAAATAGTCCTTTAAATCCAATGCACGTTCCCAGTCCGGCTGGTCTCATGCCGACATCATCGCCTGGTCCTTGCAGTAATGTTCAAGTAGGGCATTCTCCTGCTGGTTCATTCATGCAAACAGGTATGAGTGACAAGAAATAAATATTTCCATCTTTATACTTTAGATTTGTCTTCTATACTTACGTTGGTAGCTAGTTCAAAAGTGTACACGTTTTTTGTTTTGAAATGACGTCAGTTTTTTTATTCAGACAACTGAATTCAATATACGAGTTTACTGAACTAATTGTACTAGATCAGAGGTCTGTTTTTTTTATTCCTACATTAGAACTCTCTTTTTCGCTTTCGCCAAATATCTGGAGATACTGTAGTGTCTCGGCGCTAAGACAGTTAATCGATAAGTTGAGCCGACGTACGATGCTTATTTTCCTCCTCCTGCTGAATTGCTAGCTGGATTAAAATTTTGCATTAGTTCAAATTAGTTCAGCTTATAGAGCAATCCTCGTGTAGGAACAGAAAAATAAACTTTTGTTTTCCAAAATTTTAATGATTTTTTTAAATAAATGAATAACGGTGGCCAATATGCATTTCGTATTGAAGGATCACCTAGAAGCTCATTTGAATAGATACACGAATTTAAATGTATTAAATTAAATGTATTAAATTAAAGTAAATGTAGAAAATTAAATGTATAAAACAAATTATTCATATACTTAACGAAATTTCATATACTTAACGAAACTTTAGTCGCTCATGTCTATTAGATATTAGATTGTTAGATTACCATCAATCTCTCGGTTATGCGTGCATGATGCGGAAGTGCACGTATCTACCTTTTTTCGGTTCAGATTTACTGCTTTTGTTTTATAAACTTAATAACTGGATCCTTATCTCTTTATCTTAACCAAAAGTCTTTACACTTTTATAATATGTTATTCAGCATTATTAAGATCGTTCGAAGATGCGAAAGAGTATCAAAATATTAAATTGCTAGTCAATTTAACTCGTGATATTACTGCGGTAATTTAGTATAGTTAGCGTTTTAAGACCGAAAAATCATTTTTTTCGGTGCACGTTTCAAAGAACTTCATACATAATATATAAATTCACACAGAATCATACAAGCATTTAAGATCCAAGTAGACCGTTTAAGTCATTGATTTCTAGTTTGCTTTATATTTTTATTATGTTTGAAAATAAATGCAAGCTAAAAATGATAATAATTTTCGATTGAAATTGTAAGTTTGCCAGGAATATCAAAGCGAACAAAGCTATCTTTACAATGTTAATAACGATACGTCAATGTTCAGGTCATATCGATGGTAGTCCTTTTCCGGCTTCTCAAAGTATGGCTTCTCCGGCTGCCTCCAACTGGCCTGGATCTCCCAGTGTACCGAGACCTTCTCCCGCGAGACCTGGACAAAGCCCGAGTCATGCAGCGCTGCATAGTCCGCAAGCCTCCGATCATAAGACCGGTAGTCACATCTCCAGAGTATTACCGCAGAGGTCCTGGGCGGGTGCCGTGCCGACGCTTCTCACGCACGAGGCTCTAGAAATGCTTTGCTGCCCATCGAATCATCCTTCCGCCTTACCAGGTCCGGATATGTCTCCGCTTGAGAGATTTCTAGGCTGCGTCTACATGCGGAGACAGTTGCAACGTTTTATCCAGACGGAAGATTGCGTAAGTAAACTTGCGTACAAATCGTAATATAATTCAGGATTTCAGTCCTAATAAAATCCTAATATAATCCCTTTAAGGGAGGAACGTATTGTAAACTATTTTGACGCTAAATTTGAGCGTCAGCATGAAAAAGCATCCGGGAGTATTTCATTATATTCTGTGTATAATCCAATAATTAGGATAAATAGAAATAAAATGAGTAAAGAACAATAAATGGATTAAAGCTTAAAGAAAGGTAAATCAATGGTAAGAGAAGGGCAATTTCAATCAAAAATTAGGAAAATTAGGCTAATAATAAAGAATTGTATTCTAAATGGTAAACGAGCATCCGTATATCTAAAGAATGATACAATAGAGGCTATTTTGATCAATAGGTTTTATTTGAAACTTATACTTTTAAGGTCTGTTTTTTATTCCTGTACTCTCTGAATAGAAATTTACATTTCAACTTATTGCAGCGGGTGCACCAGTTTAGAGAGAGCAGAAATAAAAAACAGGCTTGTTGTGCACAGGACGCGTCAACGCATTACGCATAGCAAGAGACAACGCGATAGCCAATTAAACTCTTCCAGATCAGAGTATATGTAACTATCGCGTGGTTTCTTGCCACGCGTAATGCACATCCTATGCACAACAAGCCTATAACGTTTTCGACTGCAGTGGACACATAGTTTGCATCGACCTAGAGTGGATTAATATTCTACTATTGATTAACATTATATATGTTTTATCAAGAGAGTAGAGCATACAACATCAATAGCTGCATTTAACAGAGAAAATTAATCATTGAGCACTCATTAATTCTTTAATATGATGGTTCCTACACTTAAATCCAGCAAAGATTGGTCAATTCTTCCTCCATCCGAGATTTTGGATCGATTTCTATTATCATGCTAGACACAGGCTTTAATATTCGTAATGTTTTTAGAGTTTATTTAAAAAGATTTGATCGCTTATAGTCATTATATTTGATTTATTGTACAAGTTTTGTCTGTTGAACATGATTGAGATATTTTCTGCAGGATACAACTTGTGTAATCAATTTTCGTTATATATATATATATAAATTATGTTATAGTTAACTGGTATCAATGCAGAGCCCGGTGTAGTACATTTCAAATCTGAGAGCTTGCAATGCAGAGTTGGATTAAATCCTACGCATTTCCAATCTCTTCACATCAAGGTTCTTTCACTTCCAGAGTATAAAGATCAATGGAGTCTAGAAGAATTACAGGTAATTGAAGCAGATGCTTTATATATCCATGCGACGTGATTCACTTGAAAAAATGAAATAAACTTCAAATAAGAAAAAAACAGGTCAATAATATGAGCTGGTTAAGAATAAAAAGGATTAATATACACAGTACCCTCCATAAGTTTGGGAACATCCTACAGCAAAATCATTACATGATAACGATCTATACATGTTTTTGATTTAAATATGTCATAAGATGTTTAAATGACGATAAACATTTTTATCTAGAACACCTATAAGTTTGTACATGCCGAAAATATGTCGGACAATCATCATAGCATCAGAGCGCTCAAGGTTAAATTTCGCGCTTTGATCTATTATTTATATATTTCATTTGTTTTGCAGCGTTGTACTTGCGTGCGTTGTACATACCTACACATTCATAGATCGTTTAATTGTAGTTTAACGGTTTCTATAAAAATGATAAACTATTCGAGTCGCAAGTTGATTTTAGACTCCGTAAAGTTGTAAAATGACCCCGATGAATCAGATTTCATATAAATCGCATTTTAATTAAAATTCCATATTTTAATAGTATGTTATTATAGATAACATATGTATATATATACTTTTATTTTATGTTTTCTTAATTAAATAATTACAAATCAAAATATATCGATTTTATTATATTTTCCTTATAAATATATGTATATATATATATATATATATATACATATATTTATTATATAATATTTATTATATTTATTATATATACATATATTTGTGTGTGTGTGTGTGTGTGTCATTAAAATCAATAATAAATTAATATGATAATATGATGATATACTTTCTCAGCATGAATAATTAAAAAGAAATAATCTATTTTATTCGCAGATTATCGAAAAGTTCTTCGACACGCGGGTAGCTGCTCCGCCTTACAAACACAACACACTGTCCGGTTTTGGGAGGATGCTTAACGTACGTTTCAAAGTATTAAAGGATTTCGTGCAAATAATGAAACTGGATCTAGTTCCCAGTCTTGTGCAGCAGCAGCAGCTGAAGTGGTCCGTGCAGTTATGTTTGCGTATCCCACCTTCCGCAGGGCCAATCGTGCCTCCTGGTACGGAAGGAGTACACGTTTGCAGGAGTAAAATTCTATTTTTCGTGAGTATTCGTATTTTTTATATCGCACATAATTTGCTTATTCTCAATCAATTCTTAAGCTTATACATTTATTTCGCAGTTGCAAATAACGAGACTAGGTATATCATATCAAGGAGAGACGCCGTCCTTGGTGTTGCCGTTCGTGCATGATGTCAATACGAATATAACACAGCTAGCGGATAGAAGAGATCTTACTCCACCTCCCTCAGCGATTGCAGCAGCGTCTATGCAGCTAAAGAGATTCGCCGAATACGGGGCGAATCAGTCAGAGTGCTCGTTGTTCCCTGCTGTACGCGATCTTTTAGCTAATTTCACATTACCATCGGAACCGCCAGTTATATCACAGGTGATAATCTCAATTAGAAGAAACTTAAGTATGTTAATCATAAAGCTATTAGATTATGCCAGAAATGAGAATCAGATGACATTTTTTCCATTTTCTCTTTTATATGATATCGAAATTAATTAATTTCATCATGTTGACGTCATAATTGATCTATTCTTTTTCTCTGAGAGGAAAGGAGGAAAAGTAAATGATTCAGTAAGAAATTCAGCTGAAAAGAACAGACCTAAAATATACACAGTGTGAGACTAATAACAATATTCTATTTCTTCTTTTATTTCTTAAAAGCCATTTTACAATCATAAATTCATGGAAAATATGGCTCTCGATATAAATTGTATATGAATGATATAGTCAAATTTAAGATACTAATGAATGTCGCCAACAAAATATTTTTATAAAAATTTAGTAATCAAATTACATCTGTTTATAATAGGTCGTGCCGTCCCCGGCAGGAACTCAAGTAGCTTCCGCACAGCAAATTCAGAACACAGCGATGCAAATGCATTCGCCCATGGCTGCTGGTCAAGGTCCGCCACAGGGACCAGGACCATACGGAATCCAAGGCATGCAACCGATGGGCATGATGGGCGGCCCGCCTCAATAGGACTTGCTTTACTCTCCTAATCCCCTGTGTCTATCGAGTCATCCTACATGGATGAACTAAAAATGTAAACTTTGACTCAAAGAATTCGCGAGAAAGAATAATCCGACTGCGCTATTCTAATATGAGAAGATTTACATTTTGTGGGGCATCTTAGGAGAGAGAAAACTATGTCGTGTTCGCTGCATTTTTAATCCAACAAAGGTGAAAAATGGACAGCTAATAAAAATAGGATATTATGAATGTACATGTTTCTTGTGACAATCTCGCATCTAAGTTTGGTATTGTAGATATACGCTTTATACTTTATTACAATTAGCAAAGTCTATTATTAAAGCAAGTATGTTAAAATGAATGTATATAAATTGTATTATAAGAATTAGATTACAAGTATTATATTGGAATCATCCAACGTGTAACTTAATTTAACTTTAATTTTAAAAAATTACAACTGTATTTGCCAACAACAGTTTATTACATTCTTCATGTAAAATGATATTCTTTGTTGAAAATTATCATAATAAGTATAATCAAAAATACGAATCTATTATCTTTTTATAATGTATATATAAGAAGTTTAGTATTAATATGAATACAAAATAATTTATGATGTTGCAAATAAAAGGCATTATAAATATATGAAAAAGACAAATGTAAAAATATTTATAAGTAAATTTCTTAGATTTAAGATGAGTCCACGTACTACAATTTATTTGATGCAGATACATGAATTGTCATATCATTTAATTATTTCATTAAAACCATACTCTTGTGGGGAGTATCGGTTTTTTAGCTGTACGAATAAATTTATAACTTCGTAAAAATTCGTTAGGTTTGACATTACAAATCCATTTGCTCTGCATATATTTATTTTTAACAAAATTGATACTGGTATAGAATTAGCAAGTTTGAAAAATTATCGTTCAATATGATGTCATTTTGTCACTGTGCCTTTATATATATTTGACTACATTTTGCACAAATCTTGAGAATGCACGGCATAACTACAATATAAACAGAGACATCTCCAATACTACTAAATTTTTTGCTTCTGCAAAAAAAAATACAACTTTCACTTAATGCTCAACATGATAAGTATACTCTGTTTTGCGTTTATAGCATCATTTTATTTGTAAGCATCATTTGCCCTTGTTTAATATTTGACAATAATAAGAATGAACACAGCATGTGAAAATGGAATGTATTTTTTAATTCAACTATCCGTTGTCCTGAACATTTCCATGAAGTACAGAATTTACTCACACAGTTTTAAAAAATTGACACTTTACAAAGATAGGTTTAGATAATTTAATGGTATGACATTTGGGTTACAGGTACGCCATCCTCTGTAGTATGTATAGTACCTTTTATCAGACATAGTTTTTATATACATATAAATATATAATAGTTGCATATTTTATAATCGACATACTTCATTATGTTATGAATAAGTTGTTGACATTTTAATCAAATTAACCCTCGGTACCACAAAGAGTTAGCGCAATCCTCCCCCGATTTTCATAGTTTAGATGTTTTCCGATCCCTTTTCACTTATTGCAAAATATCTTTCGTTCTACATTTTAGACTTTCTAACTCATAAATTCTTTTTTTCAGTCTTCAAACGATAGATTAAAAAAAAATTAGTTAAAATTAATGTACTACAATCTGAGATACAAGCAAAAGAAAACGCTGAGTGACAAATATCCGGATGTGGATAGATAGGGACTTTTTTGAGATGTGGATACTGAGGATTAATTTAACTATTAATTTTACGAATCGACTGATTCTTGATGTCGCCATACGTTACGGAAGAATTGATAGAAGAAAATAATTCACATTACACATTTTATCTGGCATTTATGAATAATATATATATAAAATTTTTATTTTGGTTCTGTGTATACAGCTTCTCTTTTTTTTTACAAAAAACATAATACTCTTAACAAAAATCAATCGTACTATATTCTTAATATATGCAATTGTACAATACTCATAGTTAATAATAATATATTGGAATATAACTGTATATCAATAATCGCATCTCAAATATATATACATTTTAGGTCAGGTATCAGTCTCTGTATATAAAATTTGAATACATTTTGATACACCTATTTCACATGATAATTCTTAATTGCACCGAAACGAAACTGAACGTTACTAAACATTTTAAACTTTGAACTTAAACTAAGTGAATATCATGCGTTCTTGGCCGTGTTTTTTATGTCTTGTCTTCTTTGTTAATCTTATTATTATAATGTCTCACATAGTTTATTTTTCAAAAATAATTTTTTGCATAATAGCCTATATATACTTTGTATCTTTAGTACCAAAAAGATACTTGCGTAGATATATATTGATTTGACGCGAAATTAAATTTATCATATATCATAGCATACGACTACAACACGCGCATTTATATTATCATTTTTATCGCAATTTCAGAATAAACACATAAATGTCACATTAATCTTGACTCGACTTCCACAATTCTACGTGAGATTTCTAAACTGGTGTCTTAGGCTTTTCGTTTTTTAAACTGTTTTTCCCCTCGACTTTAGATAGCTTTTCTGAAATTTATACATTCAATATTATGGAATACTACATATTAGACAGCATTGTAAAAATCAGGTTGTTTATATTGCAATATTTATCCCTGTTTCGGATCTACAACAAGTTTAACAATCTTGGTTGTCGAATACATATGAATACAAGAAGTTTTCGAATGTTTTCTACAATTTATTTTTTTTGTACTCAACAAGTAAAAAACAATTTACAGAAAAATTTCTTTTCTAGATTGCTATTTACAATTGGGTATTTCACATAGGGATTAGATTGCAATAAAAAGAACCTTTACATTATTTTGAAGCCATTTGACGGATACACTATGCGAACGTTTAAAAATAAATATAAATATCCATAGTGTGTGCATAATATTGCATGCAAAAAATGTGAGCTTCATTTCTAAATTAAACTGCACATTATATAAAAACAAGCGTTTCACTATATATCATAGTTTTTAAACTATTAGCTAAATGAGTTAATGAGAATTTCAATCCTCCAATTAGTCTGCGATATCTCTGTATCGCACTTATATGCAGGCGACGCATAATGGCTTGTCGTTAATTATGCGTGATATGATTCATAAATGTACATGATAAAATACTCTTTTGACATAGCTTCGATACTTGTATCAGAGATAAAAGGAGGTTTGATTCATTATTACTTCCTCTATTGGGAAACAGTGATGTGCAGCACATTTTCATACACGGCAATCGATAAAAAAAAACGAAAATTAATGTTCAATATAAACACTCTGACTTTGTGACTTGCTCACAAAGTATATGCGTTATGTAAAATGCTCCTGCCGATCTCTAATATATCATCAATGACGCGTCATTCCTATATTTCTCAGACAATTATACATCTGATATAAATATCTGACAAATTTTTAATTACTCAGGTACATATACATATATAGATATATTAAAAAAAATATAAAACTAGAAGTATATATATATAAGGTTCAAGAATCATAAGTATGAAATTTTTATTAGAGAATGTTACGTGAAAAGAAAAGCCTTCTTCATCTTTCTCGTCAAAAAATTCTCCGAATAAGACATCTTGTTGCAAATAAATGTACCTTTTAATGGTTCGAGCAAAACTCGTTAGTGTCATGTTTGACATATATTTTTTTGAATGTTACTGAAACAATGACCTTTGTACAAGAATTATTTAGTAAGTGTACGCATAATAAAGAAGCGTTTTTCCACAAAAAATTTTGCAATGAAATAGCGAAAAAAATATGCCAAAAATACAAATTGGATTCTTGTCACAAGAGTATCTTGTTAAATATATTCTATCCGTTGAGAGATGAAACATCGCGTGAGTATTCAAAGTTGTGAGTACAAGCATCTAAAACTTTCATTACAAAAATATTGTAATAATATCATGCATCGCGTATGTACATCTACTGTTACATTCATTAACGTTCATCTGCGTTAACTTGTGGATGACCACCAAGAGCTGGAAGATGAAAAGAAAAAAAAAGAAAAAAGGATTTATACACCCTTACAAAAGTGTCTAATTTACTGAAAGATAACGGTTAATTACTTGCCTTAAAAGCACTGTTATTTATTTATATTTTGCTCAAAAAGTAATTAATCCATCTTTCAATATTAAATCTCTGTAAGAGTAGACCGTCTTTCAATCATTTTAAACGCTTGTACCTCCATAATATATTACAAACACTTAGCGAAACTATGAAACGTTAGCAATTTACAGTTGACGTTTTGGGATATATATATATATACATATATATACACACACACACATATATATATATATATATATATACATATATATACATATACATATATATACACACATATATATACATATACATATACACACACATATATATATATATATATCAATCTTACATATATGTATTATATACACACCAAAATATATATGTAGGATTGATGAGTCTGGACCTGAGTTTCTCTTCGAAAAAGAAACGTGTAACATGTAGCCATATTATTTTCTATGTCATATTTTCACTGCCAATGTATGTCTTTCTTTTCTTTTTCTTATGTATATATATATATATATTTTTTTTTTCTCGTTTTTTCGAAACGTTTCGTCAACTCAAGCGTTAAAGAATTGGTTTCTGTCGGCCGACTTCTCAGCTAGCCTAGGCTTGGGCTAGCAGCTAGAGTTTCAAGCAAGCAAGGCACAGGAGCACTAAGGGCTCAACGTGCTAGGAGGCACTACTCAACAGTTCCATGCTCTTAATGCCTCGTCAACAGCAGCACCAACAAGTTAACACTGGAAACGAAAATGTCTAGAATGTGCGGCATGAACAATTAGTAGCGATTTAAATAGCATCGTAAAAACTACCGTCCGCATTAAGATATACCGTCGATTCGTGTGTGTACGTATGCGCACGCTAGCACGGAGAAAGAAGGACGAAGAAAAATATTTCATCGAGTATTAATAATAATTGCACACACAATACCGCATGCGGCCCACGATTGCAAATAATAGTAGATCCTCCAAACAAGAGATTCGCACCCATGCAGCATGGAAGGTTCGCGAAAACATCATGGAAAAATTGCAATATTGCTAAGACACGCACGCACGCAATATTGCTGCAATGTTAACGCAAGAATGCAGCAACGTTGTTGCAGGAATGCTTTCCATTTAGTGACACAAACATCATTTCATCTTTCTTAATATTCAGAGACTAAGAAAGCCAGAATGACACTTGTATTACCAAATGGATAGCATCCAAAGTTGCTCAAATTGACATTTGCGCAGGAATACAGCAACGTTGCTGTAGGAATGCAGCATGTAACAATGTTAGAACATCTATGCAACCTTTACCCTGTAAAATTGTAAGGTTGCTGATGTAAACATTGTAAACTAAAAGCTTCCACGCCACACGGGGCAGATCATCGTTATATTTAGAAAAGTTCAGGTACGGAAGAAAACGCGTAAGATCATTTGTGCATCATTTTTTGGCATTTCCTAGTCGACACTAGATCGAAAATGCAATGTAATTCCTCGTTTATTCTCGAGTTTCTCGAAATGAACAAAGAATCGGAAGTTTCTTTCGCGTTTCACTTGTGCGATGTCGTGCCGAGATATCGCAGAAACTCTACAAAAATATACTCTATATAAGTATATGTATATACATGTATCCTGCTAAGGAAATGATATCTTCGTTTCTCGTAAGATCCGCATCAAATCATTGTAGGGTGCGTACAATTTAGTTTCTCAATTTTCTCAGTCTTGAAATATTATATTATTTTTTTTTTTTTGTTATTGTGTCGTACAATTTTGGCCCTCCGCGTGTATTAGGTGCGCATACGTATAGATTGGCCGTTGCGTATACAGCAGTGTGTGTTAAACATTGAAAGTACACTAACATACATATTATCGATTTCTTACGAAGATATATGGACTTCTCCTCGAAATTGTACAATTGTCCCATTTACCATAATGCATTTTTTTTTTGTGTTCTTTACATATGTAAACGTGAATGAGATGTCTCATCCTGCGCGGTCTCTCTGTGATGTATCTGTTAGGTACTGTATAGCATTTGCAACATTGAGATAACAGATTTGCTGACTAAGCTACTATAACTAATGAGAAGGGAGAAAAGAAACAGTTTGTGTTACTTGTATACCACAATTCCGAGTAGAATTTTGCTATGTGTGTTTAATAACTCGTGCCGATAGCTGGTTCGGATACGAATAAACACCGTGAAATAAAATGAAATCACGCTGAAGCTTAAATGAAACTTACAGGCCCAATTGCATACTCGTTTGGCTTGGCAAATACATTCGATGATTTATCGTTTCGAAAAGAAAGAGCTCTGCGCCCGTATATTATTATAATTATTGTTAAACTCGTATTAGTTGAATTACGAAAATGCGTATTATTTACGGATGGAACGCTTTGATTAATGACTCATTTTTCTATAAATTTTAGCCTCACCTATTAGCAATCATAGTTATTGCTTCGTAACTAATTCGTAAACGATCGATAAACAACATCTTTGTATGCAGAACTTGAGAAATGTCTAATTATAATAATTAACGTCATTTAGATTGATTGTAAACATGAAACAACAATTGCACGTATTTAAACGTCTAATGTATTATGCTACTTTATATATTTTCCTCATATTTGATATCTTTCAATCACTCTATACATCTAATAATTTGTCATCATTGATACAAAGTGTTTCTCGCCAAACGTACTTCCTTTGAACTATACTTTCCTTGATCAATTCTAAGTCGATCTTTCCTTTACAAAGATGTGATCGAGATCAAAGATGAAAAGAGAGCGTTTTGCAAACAGCAAATCATATTCTCTTAATTTCAAATAGACTGAATTATCTATTTGAATAGAACTTTAATTTGAAGTTACAAGGTGATATTACTTAAAAAATTAGAAAATTGTAATAAATTTCCGTTCTCCGTGAAGGAAAAGTTGACTCAAAATTGATCGCGATTTAGAGGAACGTCGCGCTTGGCGAGAGACGCTTTATTATTATTATTATTATTATTACTGAAATAATAAAAATAGCTTTTTGATTAATGATCATACTATTAATGCACATTTATAATTTTCATTATCACAAGATACCGTCTGATCCATGCTATGCATTATCCCGTACAAAACCTTCAGTTCAAAATAAATCAACATTAGTCGGTCTGCACCTGTTACAGGTTGTCCACGTAACGATGCAATCGGGCCTCTCTCCTCCTGCTTCCGTTATACATCTGACACTCTGCCTTCGTCAAATAATATTATACAACAGCATGGCCATGCAAGGGTGAAGAGCAAAGCTACCATGCCTCATAGAATTCATGAAAGAACGTTTGTAGAATAGAATGGATGATAGATCTAGATGCTGCAGCGTAAAGCAGCAGCAAAGAAGGGATCAACTGTCAACTGACAGTTTCACCTCCGTCTTACTTGAAAGCAAACCCCATCAAAATCATCATCCTTACTTCAGCACCTCACCAGGCCTGTCTTGACGATACGTCTACACAAGCTAAAAGAACGTCCATTTGTCAATGCCTTCCAATTGAGAAAAAGGTTCTACTTTAATAAGATGGATTGTGATCAATTCAGAGATGTGGATACGCGCGTGTGTAACACCGTAATTTCTTCGTATTCACGACAAGGCATTCACCTCACCGTTGAGGACCCGAACGTGAAATTGTGCTGCACTCAACAACACTTTCGCCACTGATTGACTTCGGTCGTTTATAAAAACTACGGAAATTCTCGTGCGACAATTTTTTGTTCATATTGACAAGACGAAATGCGAAATATTGAAAAAATAACTACTATTATATATGATTGAACGAATGTTCAAAAATCCTGGGAAAGCAAGCTGCCCGATGGGTGATCGTAACTGAGATAATAATTAAAGTTATTATCGCAAATTTAGCTGTCTCTTATTTTATATTCTGCGAGAACTTGGACAATAAAGTTGTTCACGATTGAGGAGTATTCCAGCACGATATTATGTATACATTATTGATCATTTCGCCAGAATTTAAAAGCATTTTAAGCAAGACGTTGCAAAAGGCAATGACGAAATATCGAAATACGAGTATCTTTAAAAGTTCAAAAGCGGGTATTGAGCGGATAGAAACAAGTATTACATTAATAGCGATTATATAATATATAATAGCGCGAGGAATATAAAAAGAAATATTTTTATCCGTATGACGTTCAAATTAATTCCTTCACTTGCAGAAAGGCTGAATAAAGAAGGATTATTTCTACATGCGTCAAACGTTGAACGATTTGCTCGCGGTGTCCTACGAATATGTCCTCCATGTTAATAAATCAATCTCGGTGAAAGCGAATGCGTTTGATACATTGGTACTTAAATACCGAGGTAAAGCGGCGCTTGACAAGTGACTCACATTTCCGCGATTAACCGCGTGGTATAATTTGGCACATGCAACTCCAAAGCTCTCGCATTGACAAAGATCATGAATGATCTTTTCGCTCAACGCGATTTCCGAAATTTGAAATTCATATGACGTTAACATGCGAGCGATCGAAGGATTCGAGCAATATTTCATTAGAGCGATCGTGATTAGCCATTTTGATCGACGATCGCTCTGTCGATATCGGATATATATAATTAGTTAAATAGCTTTTTTAATCCACTATCCCTCGATTCTCGTTACGTTGTAGCTCTGATGCGATCAAAGCGCACGATGCGGTACGATGCCATCGGATTCAACTTGCGTCACCATTGCATTGGAAAGTACACGAAAGCATGTGCATACATATTTGCACACACACACACACACACACACACACACACATATATAATGTGTGTGTGCATGTATGCGTACGTACATTATATGTGTTACATACGTATATTAAATATACACGTATAAACACAATCGAGGTATTCGCAAAGTCCTTAAAGAAAAAAAAACTGCGTTCAAAAGAACTGCTGGCAGAAAGCTTAGCACATTCTGCTCTCGAGGTTACTCCTTGCCAGAAGGTTCTACGCATCGATAAACTGCAAAGTGTCAAATAGGTCACATTTTACCGTAAATGAATAGAGTAGCTGACGTCCCTAACGGCCGAGGAAATCGTTCAGCGGAAATAAGTAAGTTACTTAACACGCTTAATACCGGGATTTAGTAAATGACTTTAACACCGAGCCTACCATGTTGTGGGCGCCAATAGCAGCAGGCTAGATACAACGCCAGAATAATCACCAGGACCTCGATGAAGACCAGAGTAGCGGCCACACCGATTACAATCGCTGCATTCTCCTCGATCGCTGTCATTATGGCCTTGTAACAACCCTATAAATAAGCAATGTAATGAAATAATCATGTGTGTCAATTTTTATACAACGTATCAATCAAAATTAATTTTACTTCCCCTTCCTCCAAAAAAAAAAAAAAGAAAAATTATCTTAGTGCCACTGAACTGAAAATTCACGCAATTTTCGTGTGTTAAAACTTTAGGATTGTCACAGAAAATAAATTTTTAAATTCCCTGAATTTTCCTGGTTTTCCATAACTAATTTCAATTTCCCTGACTTTTCCCGGTTTTCCAGGTTTGTAGCAACCCTGAAAGGACTTGTATCTCAAAAGCAAATTTCGAGTGTAAAAAGGCCCGCTTTTATAAAGTTTCAATCTGACAATGAGATTTAAAGAGAGATTTTATTTAGTGTGACCGATAATTACATTGATCAATATCCGAATAAATGAATAAAAAATGAATAGAAATACAATGAAATGAATATAAATACACTTTTTTGGATTCGTAGAGAAAATAAAGCGCACTGAATGCTGCTATCGAACATAATATTCAAAATTTCAAGCAATTCTTATATACTAATAAAGGTTTATTATAATGAAAACCTGTTATTTATTAATTTTTTTAGTTTACTCTTTGAAATTTCAAACCAACGTTCAAAAATACTTAACAATTGACTACTTTGATACTTAAAATATCAACTTGTAAACGATGCAGTTTTTAATCAAATATTTTGATTGCGAATAATTCCTATATAAATATACAAAAATTATAGGTATCCATTTTAAAAAATCCACGTTGAATTTCATAACTCGAAATGATCATAAATAAAAAAAAATTTATTTATACGCTTTGCAGTTAATTCAAAGCTTGCAAATTTTGCGTATTAAACTTTAACCAATTGTGTGGACAATCACCCTCTACATCGAACCAATATAATGCAATATACTTCCAATATTATATTTATGGAGAAAAGTCCCCTATTATGAAATAGACACTTAATATGAGATAGCGGCGTTTCTGCTAAACTAATAAGCACTATCTATTGATTCCACCATGAATTTATTGGACTGATGAAACTGTTTAGTAGAAAATTCATTATTAGATCATGCCTATAATAATTATAAAAAAAGATTTTAGATGTCTTCAAGTTTCATTGAGATGAGCTTTTAACATTGTTTATTATTTAATAAATAAATATTTGGCAATAAATTTTTCATATAGTGATAGAGTAAGGTCGTATTAATAGAAAAATACGGGATATGTTGAATTGCTTAATTACAGAAGTTAGATTTGATGATCGGTAAAACCGTAAGGCGTGGAAATCTTAATATGAGATATCCAGGATATTTCTAATGTGAAATAACTGCCATGTCAATATAGTGAAAATCGTTGCTAAAATATAAATGTCATTGTACAATAATAAAAAGGACAATGAATGAACATTAAGTACCTATTTCTGCAATGCTTGATTTCAACTGTTTGAAGACGAGTTTTGGGTATAATGATGTATCTCATTTTTTGCGCATCCTGGCTGTGTTTGTTTGTATTTAAGATACATTAAATAAAATTTTTAGTCGCAATACTGATATAATTTACATTTTATCGATTTCTCGGAGCATATTAGAAGCACAAAATAGTTGGATATAACAGGGCAATAAGAGTCAAGCTCAAGCAAGTAATTCTTGTGCAAATACGGTTAACAAAACAACTTTAATAATAATTAATTCGCTTACATGTTTCGGCTCACTTTTGAGCCATCCTCAGAGATAATGTTGTATTACAAAAAAAATTTTTGACAATTTTTTGACTTTGCAATTTGCTCAGTTTTTACATTTCTTTAATTTAAAAAAAAATGGAATTTGAATTAAATTTTATATAGTATTTTAAAGCTTATTAAATTCCCTTCAAAATAATCTATTATTTTTTTAAATTCTGGCCCTAAACTTCTAACATTCACCCAAAATGAACTCGGTATCTCATAATAGAAGCCTTTTCTACGCTACCGACATTATTAATTATTGAAAATTTACATATGAAAATAAAATTAAATCTAAAGAAATCACATCTAATATGTAGAATATAAACAAATATATGTTTTAAAAAATATTTTTTTATCTTGAACATGATTCTTTCTGTTTAAGAGCTACGTAGAACATTAAAAATATGTTTTACACGAAAAAAGGAACCAATATTTAATTTTTTTTTTTCAACAATTCTGCTCAACTCTGACGGGATGAACTATAATAGATGCACGCAATACCAATGTCGAGTCACGCTCAGAAAATTGTCAAGGGGAAAGTGTGTTATACGTGAACAGCTACGTATGTATATACGATATATGTTCGCACAAAAATAATTACACCTAGAATGCTAGTTGGTTCAAGAGTTAGATAGACCATAATATACAAAAGAATATAAAAAGAGCCGTTAAAGTAATGTAAATAAGACGTAACTTACCGTTTGGTACGTATTAAACGAGGTGGGATTTATTGGACATGTGGAATCTTTCAGAACGTCATTTTCTTTTATACAGCAGGCATCAGGGACCATTTTTTCGACCATTGTAGTCCAGTTCTTATTTTCGCTAAAGTCTCGATAATTTTCCACGCCGCAACAATGGAGCTGCAAATATTTCCATCAATATTGGACAATTTTGTCTTTCCCATTTATGATTAATAAAATTTTTCTTTTTCCATTTACTGAGTCCTCGTAGACCCGTAAGAAACACGGATGCGGAAAAGATGTTATGCGTATATTTATACAAACGTCAGTTAAATTCTTTTTAAATAATTTAAATTAGCGATTTAATTAAGCGTGTTTATAATTATATGATATTTCTCTTGGTTCTAGTTAAAAAAAAAAATTGTGACATTTTTCTATATAACTTATCTGCTTTCCTATACATTCTCTCCGTAATTCATCAAGACGCTTAAAACAAAATTTTGACGAGCGTTTATAATATGCAATTTCACTACAAAGTGATATGAGTGTCGATAACTCGTCCTGAGATATTCAACTTTCACTTACATCAAACCCGTGCTGCGTGCTGTGCAGTTAGCGAATCACTTGGTAAATTAATTGCGTTTATACATGCAAAGTACATAAAATCCGGAAGAATCAATGTACGATCAATTCGCGTATCAGCTTGTCGAAATTATGTTAATGTTATAATTAGTAACTTTACCTTACTCATGATACCATCCCACGCGACTGTCACCGTATCAATTTTATCGCTGGTGGTCGCATAATACTTAGCGATGGTATCCTTCAAGAAGTCCTGGGTACCTTTTTCGACCTGCATAATTTCATACTAAAGTGAATTTTATTAAAATATACATATATTAATATATGTAAGTGATTATTTACTCGACGTTGATTCACTGGTAGAAATTAGAATTCGCGCGGAATATAATTATGATAATTATAAATACGCACATCTCCTTTAAGTCCAAAAGCGAGGCCGACTACCACACACTCCAGGATCAAAACCACCAAGATTAAAATGCCGTACTGTAATCACAGAAAATGTTTTCTCCTTTTTGGATAATTTCGTCCCGATTTTACGCGCCCGATTTTATTAACAAGGCGGTGATTTTAGATATAAGGAAATAAATCGAAAACACACGACAAGATTGCCTTATTATTTTCAAAAAAGTTTATTTTATGTTTTCGATAATTTTGTAAATAATTTCTTCTCTCAATTACACCAGCAATAACGAACATTAGTATTTTGTATTCGCTATTATATACGTCATAAATGAGAGAAAAAGAAAATCAAGGAGAAAATATTATGTTACATTATTATAATTAAACAGCGCTAAATTTTATATCGTTTGCACTGTTTTAAATTAATCTATTACTGGATATCTACTACAACCAGCACTGCTAGTTTTGTACTAAAGTACACATTGAAAGAGATGTAATGTCGTTTTAAAATTTCTTATTAAAAATCATATTTATCACTCACTATTGACTCAAAGTTATTTGCATGTGAATTAAAAACGTATAATATTTCTATTTCTAGATACTAAATATATAAGAAACACATGAGAAAATTTGTAATCTTTATGTGTTTCGTGATCTCTGATTTTACATTAGACTGCAAGTCGCCTATATATATATATAGGCGAGATGAAATTGTGAGCGAATTGTGTTTTATCAGAACGGACTTACGACACAAAGGAGACACCTGGACTCGAACATAGCGCCGCAATACCCAAGAAAACTGATAATGAACGTGAGAGCACCAGCGATGATAAGAATGTAGGCCATCATCTTGATGACATCGGCATCCGTTTTGGTCTGTAAAAACAGCAAGGTGCGATGAGAATACAAATCGTCCTGCAATGAATATTCATCACCGAACATGGAATACAAGGTTGCGCGATATTACAGCATCCTTGAATCAGTTGAATCTTTTTCCTGTCTAGAACGCGTTCATTATGTTACGTAAATTTATTTGTATTATAATACAATTATATTTATTATAAACTAACATATACATTTTAATAAAATACATCAATAATAATAATTATTTATTACAAATAATTAGACATTATTAATTATAATAATACACGGAATTTTTTCTTAGAATTTACTCTGAAAATATGACAGTCGTGGGATAAAATTGTATTTCGAAGAATTTTTTTAATGTAAATCTCTCTCATTCATTAATAAAACTACAATAAGATATAAAATAAGTTTGATCGATTTTACTGAAGTGCATAGTAAAAATCTTTAAATTCTATCGTACCACAACTCCCATATTTTTAGGATAAATTTTAAAAGGCATGTATAATTACTAATTATTAATATATAATTATATAATTATATAAAAAGATATATATTATATTTATTGTAATATTTTAATATGTTGAATTTTAAAAATAACAAGAAGCTATACACTTGCTACAAATGTAAAATAAGAATGCAACTCGAACGAAAACCCTGTTTAACCACAAATCATAGAAAAATAAAAATCACAAAGGTTGCTTGATTATGTAAGTAATACTAATTTATAAATTTTTATGTTTAGTGGGAAGTTTACGATCATTTGTTACAAACTGCGGGATTCCCGAGTTCCACTTGAGATCTCGTGTTTTACGAATGAAATTATATGACTCGATCCTAAATTAATGCAATTAATTGTGCGTTTCCTTAGATTAATTGCATTTCGACGGCATTTATCATATTGATGGCATTATATTGTTAGCTGCATTATTTAAAATATTTATTTATTATTTGACTAATCCGGCTGTTATCATTTTCTTAGAAAAGAAAAAAATTCTTAGAATTAGAAAAAGATAAAAAGTAAAAACCTAAATTAAATCGAGATTAAAGTTAATCTACATTGAATATAGAAATGAATTACTTATAGGGCCCTATTCTATGATTCTTAACAATGTTGTTATTCAACGATTGTCGTAAAGAACATTTTTTATCTCATAACAAAATAGCGACAAAACTGTCATAAATTCAACAGCAGCTAGAGAGATGTTGTTAAGTTTACGACAATTTTCTTACCATTTTGTACGATTAATGAGCAGTCAATATTTGTAGAAAAGGAAAAATTCTTCACAAATAATCGTTCAATAATAATTAAAGTTTGTTAAAGATTGAAGAACGGGATCCTTAATATAATATGCAAAATAAAGGCGCATAAGCTGTGAACAATTATTAGGTCGAGCTTGTCACACCAAGTATCCAATCGCGAGTATTGTACGGGAACGTGCTCGATATAAGAGGATGACATAATGGCTCGCGAACGGCACTTGGAATACTTATAAGCTCCCTACACACAAGTTGTCGTCATGCGTGATAGATATCGAGTTTCACGAGGCGGATTAGCTAGAGTAGAGACATAGACACTCCTTTGTGTGGATCGTCGCGAGAAACGAGGCGTACATCTGCCGATGCCACCGTCGCGGACTCTCCACGATTTTATTTATATATTCATTAAAAGCGAAAATTGTAGAAGAAGAAATGAAGAGAGAAGAAAAAATCCTTTTCTTCATTATATATTTCCGCTCATTGCTTTTCCGAATCGACGCCGGGCGGTGCACAGGTTTGAGAGCGTAAAGACTGATTGTAATTAGCTCGGGATGCGGTATTTTTCGTGCAAACTTGATATACGGGGTATAATCCGATCTAATAGTCCAATGTTGAGCTCGTGGTAACATAAAGTAATAGAGAATCGTACTAATCTACCCATCGCGTGTGAAGATCTATCCACGGAAGAAACAAGGTTTCTAAGGACTTTAGGAAAGTATTAATCGATTAATAACTTGAAGGGCTGACGAATCGAGAAAAGAAGAGAGGGCAAGAGTTTTTGGATATTACACAACGGTTTCATTGATGTATCCATAGAAATTTAGTTAGATACACATCTGAAAGTATTTATATAGGTCAACATCTCCGATATATGTATAATATTTTCATGTAAGTAAGACAAATAATTTCTCTCTAATTATAAGCAATAATACAATATTCAATGTTTAGTAATTTCGGCAATTTAATGTAATGATGTAAATAGACAAATATATGAGGGATACGCAATAACATTATTACCATTCAATCCAACGTTCGCTACAAAAAAGAATTTCGATCCGAGTATAACGATTTGTAAGATCAATTTCGAAATTATTTTATTATCATTAATTTTGCATTCGTTTAATTATTACATGATTCTGAAGAAGAACCCAAACTAGTGGTCGAAACGTATACATGTATCACTTAAAATGGCTGGCTCAAAATAAGGCAATTATAATTAGCGATTTTTTCCGAGAATGTATAATTATAATTTCAATTCAAGGCCGATACGAGTCTAAGATAATCCATCGCATATACATTCATGCTTCAAGATTGCATCTTAATCTCAAATTGAATTTATCTATTAACAAGTCAATCAAATTGACAATGCCAATGCGACTCTTAATACAATCATTTGACCAAATCATAAAGAATTAATGCTGCTGTTTCATTGAGAACAGCAGTGGAAATATACTTGAGAATAATTTATAAGTGCTTTCGTGATTCGGATAAGACGATCAACGCCATTGCGTGACCCATCGTTTTACGTTCGCGAGAATGCAGCGGGTTGGCTCTAAAGTATTCCATTGCGATTTGTATCCGTCGTGGATTACTTCGTGAGTACGTTGACATTCTTATCTCAAACACCTGTTGAACGGATATCAGATATTTTTAGACTTTACTAGGTATCACCTTGAGGTATCACCTATAGGCGTGCCAACGTTGGACGTCTTATTGAACTACCACTTAACGGCGGAGCGTGTGCCACGAAAAATCAGGTCACCAGGTGAAAGGACTAATAAGGAGGCTGTCTCTTCGGTTTCACCGGCTTGTTCCGCCAGATTGATCAAAACTATTCGAGCGGCGACAGCAAATGATAAGCGACCGACGTGGCTACTCGGTTTTATATCTATGGGATGACCATCAGAAAGTTACTGAAACTAAGTAGCTGTGTGTTTTGTGACGATATAAGCATGGGAAACAAAATCTGGTTACATAAATTGGAAATTCGATAGTTTTAACCAGAAAAATATAAATCGGATACTTATAGTTGAAATATATCAAATATATTCTACTCAAGATAACCAGAAATTCAATTATGATAATCAAAATTCTGATTAGTAATAATATGATCACAATGCACTTTGTATTGTATTTCTTGTTGATGTAACCCAAACATTTTTCTCAACATTGTCAGGACGATGAATTAAACACTGTACAGTAGAAGAAATCTGTTTTTATTAGCACATAAGCATTTATTAGCAAATATATATATATATTTAAAAGTAAATAAATATAAAAAATGGATTGACAATAATTCTTTTCAAGAGTAGTGTTTAACTCAACTTTGTCCAGTCGTTACAAAATAACAGCAGCTATTCAGTTTCAGCAATTTCCCAATGGCCACCTTGTACAATCAACTTAATACTATGAGTCATTCATCTTGCAGATCTAATGAGTACATTAATTTACTGCTTTACTAGTCTACAAGACACTTATTAGCATCAGTAATGTTGAATTGTATATCAATTTAATGCGCCTTGTCGCACTTAATGTGACTCTGGAGTTGTGAACGATGAGATAAAAAGATCTTTCTAAAGACACGCTGTAAAAAAAACCAATAAAATCATTTCTTCCAGATTTAAATTAATTTTAAGCTACTTTGATAAAATTTTAAGATTTATTAGAAATATATACCATATGTGCGCGCGCGCGCGCGCGCGCGTGTGTGTGTGTAATACTAAATGTGGAAAATATTGCGATAAATGATCTTTCTTGAAATATCTTCGACCAATCGATAAAACCACCACTCAAAAAAATTAAAAAATCCTTCTTTTTAATCTTCTTACAATCGCTTTAAATAGCTGTCAATGAACGTAGAAATCTACAGAGCTCTTATCATATTCTTCAAAAGGATAAATCGTCAGTAATTCAAGGATTAACGCTAAAATAACACGAGGCCCTAATAAAGAATACACGACCTATCAGGCACGCACACACGCATACGAAGAATCGTGGCACATCGAACACGAGCTGTTGCTCTGAAATGACCCAATTTAATGCATTTACAGTACACGAACGTATGTTGCGCGTGCGTCAGCGAGTTAATGCATTTTCTGGAGCTAACGGCGTACGTCCTAAATACCTGTTCGCCCTCATACTCGTGGATACATTGAACGTGCCCGATTGAAAAAGGAGGACGAATATCTAAGCGAAAGCCATGTTCTCTGAATTTTCTCTCTTTTACAAGAAAAATTTTCCTTTCTAATTTCAACCTCCCTCCCTCCCTCCCTCCCTCCCTCTCTCTCTCTCTCTCTCTCTCTCTCTCTCTCTCTCTCTCTCCTCTTTCTTTCCGTTCGTGTTTCATATGCCATCAACGTATGTCGCCAACACTTCTAATATCGATATGACTGTTCACGCTGATTATTGCCCAAGGATGAGATGATTTACCGTTATTTATCTGTTCTCCATCAATATCGTTTAAACAGGAAGACAATGAACGAAATAAGTTGAAGGGAATACTCTTTGGCTAATGGAATTACAATATTATCGAAGAAATGATACAATATCTTTAACAATATGTGATAAGGGTATTCCAAGAGATATTTAATTAACAGATTACGTCTGTCGCCAACTTTCGTTTATACGTTCATTTCCATTTACAATCCCATTTACAATCCTCTATGTACATTCAGAAACGTAATGATAGCAATTATACAAGCTGTCCGTAAGTTTTGATAAAGCACTCGTGTGTAGATAAAGCGAATTAAATT